CATCATCATCATCATCATCATCATCATCGTTCCAACACTTTGGTGGGCTTGGATCAGGTCTGGAAACTGCAGCGGCTTCCATCGGTCCGAGGAGGAAATCTTGGGTGCCTTGACCTTTCAATTCTGAATTGTTCGGCATGTGAGGCATGGACAAAAGATATACAGTAGACATATCTCCCAATAGCAAGACTCACTCACAATAGCTCCGCGAGGCTTCCACCAACTGATCTTGACACACAAAAGTCCACCGCCAAAATCAACCCAATTGGTCTGCCAGGTCTGCCACAAGAACCACCAAGGACCAGCCTCTCTCACGTCATCTTCGACTGAAAGACGCCGGGAAGGACCAGCACAACCCTAGGGATCCAAGTACCTTCTCAGAATGTGATTGGAGACACTGTTATGTCGGTTTGGAGGGTCCAGTCGTACCGAACCTGAGAAGGTATGTGGATCCCTAGGGCAATTATATGCAATTATATCATATCAGCAAATTAACATCCTGAAAGTATAGTTAAGCTGCAACGTGTTGTGTGTTTTATCATAAGTTTACTAACATTTAACTACCATAAAAGAGCTGAACACATCGAGACAGTCCAGTTCCATGCCTCACGTCCAGTCCGATGCCAGGCAAACGGGCCGTCGACTGAACAAAAAAAAGACAAGACCGCCCGGCTTTTCAGCTGGGGATTGGTTCAGATTGGCGTGCGTTGGGACCGTCCCGTTTGTTGATGAGTTTCAGATTCAGTTTTCAGGAGCTTTCCTAGATTCTGAGATCCTTTAGAGACCTACTCAAGCCAATCCAAGAGGGAAACTCTCTCCCTCTCTCTCTGTCTTGAACTCTTGAGCACCAAATCGCTGCCATGGGTGACACTGGTGACACCAAATCGCAGGTCCAAGCTGGAGCTCGAAGCCGTCTGATTCGATCGGCATCGCCTCCTAAAGACCGGAAGAACACGTCAGAACAAAACCATGGGAAGCCAAGTCCACCTGATTCAATAGGTACATAGTACATGATGTTATCCAGGATAGCAACAACCGATGTCCACCTCTAAGTGTTCAGTCGCTGCTTTCACTGCTACCATTTGGACCTGCGACACTGCATGAAGACGAGGCAAGCTGTGTTGCTGTGGAACCCATCAGACTGTCTCCTCCTCCGAGCTCCGGGTGCAAAGGTTTGGGATAAAAAACGCAGGTGAAAACCTTCGCCCTGCCATGGGTGGGGTTGAAGCTGTGCTAGAACAAAGATTAAGTCTATAATTGATTATAATCTATAATCCACATTCGGCCTCCAGTAGTACCGAACTTCAGATGTGGGCCCAGGTGCCAGGAGGGTCCAGTCATACCGAACCTGAGGAGGCACTTGAAGATGGAGTCTATACCAGGACCCACAAGGGGTGGTTAATGGACACCCCTTAACCTCTAAGGGGCTATCAATAGAAACCCCTTAGGGGGTCCTGGTAATATACATTCTCCCTGAGCTTCCCGGCAGTCTCGGGACTTGATTGGGGGGGGTCCCTAAGACCCCGGTCAAACATCTAAGACCCGCCCTAGGGGCTGGCCCGTCCTCGGACCCAGAAAAAACCTGGTCGTTGGCCACATTGAGTGGTTTACTCCTGATAACTCCTGTAGAATAAGGTCATTGACCTGTGTGGGTTTAGTTATGTGTCCTCTGCCCACTGCAAATGTGTGGTGATCTGATACTTGTGATGATGTTTCACATTTCGCGAAGTGCTTCTCTCATTCTGGTATTTTACCCCCCCCAAAGCATGTCTTGGTAACGTGATCCCAAAGCTCACCATCCTCGCTTCAACCAACATCAGGTTGTGATTTGAAGGTCTTCTGGACTTTGTGCACTAGCGAACAAACAGAAATGGAATCAAACGAACAGTGTAGTAACCAAATGATTCACTTCCTTCCAGCACCAGTCACACGTTAAAAGAGTAAAAGCAAAAAACACTAAGTGATCTGTTTTCCCCCCTGGGGGCTTTGGCACTGCGTGCGCCTTTTGCGCGCTCATGAACAAGCCTTCCACCTCAGAGGCGCGGGTGGTGAACGTTTGCAGAACGAAATTGACACGGGTTCCAGTCGTAGCTCCTCAGGTTCGGTATGACTGGACCCTCCTGGCACCCACCCGAGCACCTTCTTAGAAGATCTTAGAAGGTACTTGGAGCCCTAGGGTTCCCAAACGATCCATTGTTGTTGGCGCATGTCTATGGCCTACTGGTGCTTCTTGGTGGTGAATGCAGGTCATGAGTCATGACCATGATTGACCTCCCCATGCATGGTCTGGGTCCCTAGAATCCTTCGAGCGAAATCATATCTTGCCTGAATCCTAGAGGTCGAACAAACCCTTTTTTGATTGGTTCGGGCCCGGATTCTGAGGGAATGTTCAGAATGCTCTCTTGGGGCTTCTGGGAACGTTTGATGACTCACTGCACTTCCAGAAAAAAAGACTGCTTCAAACCCGAGGGCTCCAGTCATACCTCCTGAGAAGGTATAGGGAGCTATACGCTGTCACAGGAGCTATTTGGAACCCTGGGTGGCAATGTAAGCAAAAGCGTTCAGAGGTCCCCCCCGCGATTTCATGTTCCGAGCCGCCACGGATGAATACAGCAAACATACCCAACCACCTTTGAGGCCATGTGGATTTTGCAGGGCTGGATCTGGACTCATTCAATTGTGTTCTTTTTTTTATTATTGACCGAAAACTGACCGAACTTGACCGGGAAAGAACCCGACCTGCACCGCGTTCTTCCATCGTTTCTCCGCCGATTTTCCGACGCCTCGCGCCATCGCTGAAAGATGTCCCCAAGTCTTCACCGCTCGTCACGCGGGGCGTACGACACATGCAGGTTAAGGGATGTGTACTGGATCGGTTTAAGGGACAATCAACCGGAAACTTCCACACCCAAAAACGGCTTCTTGTGAATTGTCCCTATATATGTCCCTATTCTTAAAGCAACCCAAAAACTATGGGGTTCTTGTGCATTGTCACTATGATTAAAGCAATTCTGTGAGATTTGTCCCGGAACTGGCTGTGCTAAGAAGGACTCACGAAGGACTCGCACGGAGAGGTCCCAGATTGGCGGCTTTGTGATATCAATGGGTTAGGTATACAGTAATGCCCTTCTTGTTGGTGCCATCTCAACAATGAAGGGGCCAAACCCTTCTGTATTTCTCGCGTTTGTTGGCTAAGCTCCCCGGCCAACCAGGGCCACAACAAGCACCTTTTCGTAGCGGTCCCTGCAGCGGTGTAGGACGCTGAGAACCCCCAGCACGTGTAGGACTGAGACTGAGAAGCTGAGCCATTTTGAGAGGTTTCCGTCGAAAACAGCAGGACCGGAGCTTCTGACATGTTCTGACCCTTTTGGGGGTCTGTTTCATGGTGTTTCCTCGTCCGGTCACTGAAGAGTCCAATTTTAGAGCCCGTCCCAGCTGCGTTATGAAGTCCGCTTTCCTGGACCACCAATAAACACTGCTATGTCAGATTCTGAATCCCTAAGGGATCCAAGTGCCTTCTCAGAAGGTGGGACTGGGGTGGGTCTGAGAAGGTACTTGGATCCCCAGGGAATGAATATAGGACTTCACATGACTTCACCACTTCATCAGCTCCATCTTAAGCAAAACACTTGTCACGCGGAGACGTTGTCTCCACGCTGAGACGTTGTCTCCACGCCTCAATGCAGTTGATCTCCAATTGCTGATTGTCTTCCTGTTCCGTTCGAACTCGATCCTGCCCAGAGTGCATCTGCATTCAGCCGGGTAAAGTTTGTATATACCAGGACCTTCAAAGTGACCTCTTTGGAGTCTCTAAGTGACCTCTTTAGGGACTATATAAGTGACCTCATTCTAGGATCTCAAAAGGTCACTTTGAAGGTCCTGGTACATGGGAACCACTGACCTCAAAAAACAAAGGTCGTTTTTAGAGAACCATGTTTTTTTTTCGGGGCTGACCTCTCTGGAAACAGGGTCGCGGGATATCCGAGGGGATATCCAAGGTAAAGCACCTGGTTTCTGGTACATGGGAAAGTATCCATCCTGAAGACTAAGGTCTCCTGCCTATCATTGGCAACCGTACGGGCCATCGAGGACCAAAATGATACTGTAGAAACAACTCTCTGAATTAAACAAACTAACACTGACTGAGCCTGCGGTCCCAACTCAAAACCACACAGAACGACCCAGCCCTTCTTTTTGCAATGGCCAATCTCAAAGCGGCCTCCAACCTAACAGTTGCGTCATGGTATCTTCTATTAGTTGTTGCACCGGTGAATAGCAAAAGCCGACTCCAGAGATCGGATCGTGCGTACCAACGGTACGTACCAACGGTTGGACTGACTGATGCCACGGAGTGATGCCACGCGGTTCCGCCACGCTGAACCGAACTGTCCACCAGACCTGTTGAGTGACCGGATGGAATTGGCGTGATCAAACCTGTGGTTGTCCAACCACGTTAAAGATGCCGTTGAAACCGACCCCACCACTGTGCTGTTCACGTTTCACGCCGTGCCGGTCGGTTCAGGCCGGCTCCGCTCCTCGATCCGCTGAATCGCTACCTCGACCGGAACAGGCTGGAAGGACTCCTGGGCGGATGTCGAACTTGAGGGTCCGGGCGGGCGGGCAAAGGTCTGTGGATGGATGGACCAAGCCTTCCCCAAAAAGGCTTCAAAGATCTCAGAAGGTATATGTGGAGCACTTAGGGAAATCATGACCTTTTCACTGAATATAGTGGAGCTGCTGGAGCACCCTTCCAAGGCGTGCTCAAATATCCGCCGACCCCGTGGTGCAGCAAGGGGGAGCGCGCCCCGAAATGGTATGTTCTGTTGTATCAATTGTGGCCATAAGGTGTGCTACTGCTTCTTTATCTAGAAATCCCACCCCGAAGTGTTTTTGGTGCTCGGTGCACAGGTTTCTGTGCCCCTGCAACAGTGGAATTGCCTGCCGAGATCCCAGCTCGAAGTGTCTTTGGTGCTCGGTGCACAGATTTCTGTGCCTGGAACAATGGAGCTCTTGATTTTTTTAATCCGTTCAGGAGTGGCGTTTGGCGGCAGAGGGACGGCAGGAGGCTGTTTCGTCACGCCGTGCCAGGGTGTTTTCCTGATTCGAAGGGTGTCTTGTGGCTTGGCTTGTGTGCCTGGAACAATTGCCTGCCAGACCCTTGATTTTTTCATTCGGTTCAGGAGTGACGTTTGGCCCAGGCAGAGGCACGGCAGGAGGCTGTTTCGTCACGCCGCGCCAGGGTGTTTTCCTGATTTGAAGGGTGTCTTGTGGCTTGGTTTGTGTGCCTGGAACAATTGCCTGCCAGACCCTTGATTGATTTTTTCATTCGGTTCAGGAGTGACGTTTGGCCCGGGCAGAGGGACGGCAGGAGGCTGTTTCGTTACGCCGTGCCAGGGTGTTTTCCTGATTTGAAGGGTGTCTTGTGGCTTCCCTTGATTTTTTCATTCGGTTCAGGAGTGACGTTTGGCCCGGGCAGAGGGACGGCAGGAGGCTATTTCGTCACACCGGTTTTGTGTGCCTGGAACAATTGCCTGCCAGACCCTTGATTTTTTCATTCGGTTCAGGAGTGACGTTTGGCCCGGGCAGAGGGACGGCAGGAGGCTGTTTCGTCACGCCGGTGTTTTCCTGATTTGAAGGGTGTCTTGTGGCCTATTTTGTGCGCCTGGAACAATTGCCTGCCAGACCCTTGATTTTTTCCATTCGGTTCAGGAGTGACGTTTGGCCCGGGCAGAGGGAGGCTGTTTCGTCACGCCGTGCCAGGTGTTTTCCTGATTTGAAGGGTGTCTTGTGGCTTGTTTTGTGTGCCTGGAACAATTGCCTGCCAGACCCTCTATTTTTTCATTCGGTTCAGGAGTGACGTTTGGCCCGGGCAGAGGGACGGCAGGAGGCCGTTCCGTCACGCAATGCCAGGTGTGTTCCTGATTCGAAGGGTGTCTTGTATTGTGGCTTGGTTTCTGCGCCTGGAACAGTGGAATTGCCTGCCAGATCCTTGATTTTTTCATTCGGCTGAGGAGTGACGTTTGGCCCGGGCAGAGGGACGGCAGGAGGCTGTTCCGTCACGCCGTGCCAGGGTGTTTTCCTGACTCGAAGGGTGTCTTCTGGCTTGCTTTCTGCGCCTGGAACAGTGGATTTGCCTGCCAGAACCTTGATGTTTTCATTGGTTCAGGAGTGACGTTTGGCCACGGCAGTCATGCCGTGCCACGATGTTTTCCTGATTCGAAGGGAGTCTTCTGGCTCGCTCTCTGTGCCTTGGAACAGTGGAATTGCTTGCCAGAACCTTGATTTTTTCATTCGGTTCAGGAGCGACGTTTGGCCTGGAGAGGGACGGCAGGAGGCTGTTCCGTCACGCCGTGCCAGGGTGTTTTCCTGACTCGAAGGTGTCTTCTGGGTGCCTTGGAACAGTGGAATTGCCTGCCAGAACCTTGATTTTTTCATTTGGTT